GAAATAAAATTAATTTTAATAAAACTACACTAGTTTTTCTTAAGAAGTATTTCAGAAACTATGCAATACAGCATTTATTAACATGTTTATTTTTCAGAATCACTATTTTCTGAAGTTACGAAAATAGAAAGTAATGTCACTTTAAAATACAAGAGAAAATAAAAATATTTTATTTTAAGGTTATTTCTTTACATGTTAATTTTGATATATTATCATTATTTTTATATGTATCAATATTATTACGTGTGTAAAAATGTCCTTAAAAACTTCGCAAATTTCTGAATAAAAAATTTTGCATACAAACTGATCTTGAAATCTCTAAAATGATAAGCCACCAAATTTAGCACTGCATAATAAAAAAATTCATATCCCAAGACGGGAAAAGTTGTTTTTGAAGAATTATTTTATGAATTCTTCATTCCCGAAAAAGAAACTGTTTCGAAATTCTCATGTTTCAGTTGAGCAGAGCCTAATGACGAAAATTCAAGTATCTACCATTTATATTAAGAAGTAGGAAAGAATTCTATTCAAGTTAATCCGTTAAATCCATATTTGTCATTGCATGCCACAAAAGTTTCCTCCAAAATTTTAATTCACACTCAAAATGACAGCCATAGAAAAGGCAGACGGAAATGTCAGATAACCAAAATTAAGGATCTTTTGTCATTTTTGACTGAAATTAAAGAAATGAAGACAAAAAATCGTTCCAAAAAAACGTAAGGAATTTTAAGGACTGTATAAACCTTGTAAAATGTACTATACGACCGACAATGAACCCTGCAAAAACTTTGTCACTGAATTGATGTTCTCTTAGAGAAAGAGACAAAACTTAAAACAATATTTCTGGTAGACATAATTGAAATTAAGAAATCTCTACAATAAAAATCTACAGTTTTATGCAATACTGCAGTTTGCGCTATTAAATTATAATATTACTTTGATCATATTTTAGATGTGCACATACATATTGTGATTAAGTTACAATTCACACAAATTTACTTACTTCAAATAATAAGTAATTTACTTCTAACAAAAATTACTTATAATCATAATACAGCACACTTCTTCGCACAATAAAAATGAAAATAATTATTTATACTATGGCAATAACTGAATGTATTATTTCTTCAAACTCAAAATATTTCCTTTAGCCCAAACATAATAATTATTAATTAATATTATTTATTACAAAATAAAGAATGAATTAACCTATTATTTCAATATATGTATAGATAACACAGTAGTGTATCAAAGTTCCAATAATTAAGTGGATAAAATAATCTATAACGTAAGACAAATTACGAAAAAATAATCTATAACTTAAGACAAAATTACAAAATGAAATAAAAAAGATATTACCTAGCAAACATTTTCAGCATTATAATAAAAATATGTTTTTAAATTTTATTTTACATATTATCATCATATTATAAATATACTGCTAATGAAGTTGCAATACAGATGCTAACGTAAACAGTAACAAAAAGAAAGATGCATATGTAAATCTTGATAAGCATATGTTAACAGTTGTAACATTTCTAATTACTTACCACAAATTCATTTTCTTTCCTTAAAACAATATTTACAATATAAGTAATACTAAAGATTACGAATAAAATAAAATCACGTTTTCAATAATTTACATATATATTTCATTATTACGCAGAGATGAAAAAAATTCCCAAATCTTACATAAGACTGCACTCAGCATCATTTTTGTATATAATCTACAGTATTCCAACACAGTTCAGATCACATAATAAATTAATAATGAAAATTATTCTCAGATATAGGGTGCATTATGTAATCTATTACTATTTTGCATCAAAAGTGGGAAAACCATACATATTTCAAAAAGGATGCTATTAACAAAACATTTCTGCACCATAAAGTCAACCTTTCCTATGGTAAAGAATGGACCTCCTCCCTGCAATACAAACTAAATTCTCTGATCTGTACAAACTTGATGAAAAATACCCAGACAATATGTATCGCTTGCCAAATAAGATGCCATATTTCAGGATAATTGCAAAACTATTACAAAGAATAAAAATACATTCTTTTGGGGGATATGTAATTTTGCTCAGTGGTAGCTTTAATTAAACAAAATTCCAATTTTGTATCATATTTCATGACATATTATTCCACAAAAATTTAATCTCTAAACCCAACAATCGCTAGCTTTAGATGAATTAAGGAAATTTTTTCCAAATATTTCTCAGAAATTTTTATCGCTTGATAGTTATTATTGTTCCATAATGGTAGACTTGTAACTGACCAAAGAAAATACTGTCTGTATTTTACATTAAGCCACTTAAAAAGTTCTCCTGAATGAGTAGATTATGATATAGAAGCTTCATCCCAACATAAAAGAAAAACTTGATATATCAAAACAGGTTTCACCTCAACTTTAAATATTTTGATAATATCAGAATAAAATGACAGAAGAACTTTCTTCATACAAGAGATGACAAAATTCATACAGTTCTCATTACAAACTTGCAGATTAATAAGCAGACATATTATGCTTACTGGTGCAGTGAAGTGGATGAGGTGCAGACAAGCTGCTTTATCCTTCTGTATGTCTCTAAAGCTACTTAAAACTCACACACTATCTACGATTTTGAATAGGAAATATTCTTTTACAATTAATTAATGCCGGTTGCTATTGAAGTATTTGGATGTGTCTCATCCGTAGCATGTAGATCCTAATTGTGAAACACTTCCCAAACTTAACTACTAGTAATGACAGGGTATGTCTTATCTGCAGCATGTACATCGTAATTGTAAAACACTTCCCAAAAGACTCCACATGATCTTAACTACTAGTAATAGCAGTGAATGCTTTTACAGAAAAATTAATTTTGTTGCAATTCACTGCTCAGTCATCAGATAATGGTATTGCAGTGATGAGAAATGGTTCACTAGAAGGTGCAGTTAGCTAAGTTCTAATAAACTGGAAGGAAGAATTTATTGGTTTATCTAACCTTAACTACTGCCTTACAATGTTTACTACAGTAGCTTTTATTATTCAGCATTAAATGATGGTTTCTTTTTTTTTTTTTTTTTCATTATATCAGGATTAATCCCAATTAATTTTTTTAGAATATTAATATCAGTGACAACTATCCTCCAGATCTTAGCTGATCTACATAATCTCAAAATAAAATTATACCTTCTTAATTTATAAAGCATATTAATATAAGCTTTACTCATATTTTGACTAACTATGCTAGCATAATGAACCAATTTGAATTCAAAAAGATATGCTGCTTGGATTTATTTTGATACTAACAATTTCAACATATTTTTCTGAGTAATTGAAAGAGCTATCGCTTATTGCAAATTGAAATAATTAACATTAAATAACATTGAGTTTTTATTGGTACCTGAATCAGCCACATAATATGTATAAATAAATTAAAATGAATTTTAATAGATTATATAAATGCAAAGGAACTTTTAAATGACTTAATAATATTACTCTATTATTATTGTATAAATAAAATTTTACACGTTATACTGATGCTGATAAAAAAAAACTTTCCATTTTAGCAGCGCTGTTATTTTATGCTTATGATGATTGCCATGCCCAGGGTTAATTGACAGAGGGCTGTGTGTTTATGATGTGTGCTATGCACAATAAATGCCTTATGATGTAATGGAATTGCATGTGTTACACATATTTTTAGCATCGCTGCTAGCAGTGCGCACAAATCGAACCAATGAGTCCAAATACCACCAAACTTCTTTGGTTGCTGAACTCTCATCAAAAACTCTTTATTTATTTCTACATTTCTGACTGTTATGTGAATTAAAAAGTAATGTTTAAATAACTTCTGAAAAGGGATCATGCTAGTGATGCAAAGGTTATTAAAGTCAAATGCCCTTACATGACAGATACTGCTGAAAGAGCTCAGAATAGGACGTATATTATATTAAGCCTCATAAATATGACACTCAGCAACAGCTATATCTCTTACTTATCAAGCCTATTTTATTTTAAGCTGCTCCCATAATAAGTAGCTTCTAGCAAACCCCATTGTTAGTATCTGAAAGTTCTTCAGAGTAACAGGGGAATTCTTTTTAATCTTCCGTGAATTCCTCATATAGTTTATGTTAAAAAAAAACTTACATTTCTCTTATTAAAATGGTTGTTTGAACTCCTTTTCTAAATTCTATGTTATCAAAAGGATGCCTATTATCATTAATACGATTTGAAACTTATGCCTTCCTGTCATAAACACATGCAAAATGGCTAAAAAGCATTTTAGTTAATAAAAATCATAAATCCTTGCCTCATGACAGTGCACACTGTTTTTAATTGAGAAGGAATCTCATGAAGCTTTCGAGTACAAGTTATGCTGTAAAATTCCAGAATATGTAAGTGAAAGTTATTAGTAAACACATGGTGGCATTGCTGATTTTCTATAGACCATATTACTCAATGTATGAGTTTTTTTTGGGGGGGTTGTTTTGTTTTCAGTCTTTTGAATACTCACATCGAGTTTACCTGTACGATGTGATGGAGGAAATAACATTTTTATGCAATACAATACATTTCTATCAGAAGGGATCTACAGTTTGGTTCATCAAAGGCAAAAACTACTTTAATGCCAGTGATGAATTTTTCTAAAAACGTGAAATGTTCAGCTATACAACCCTCAAATAGAAACTTTTTGACTATTTCTCATTAATGAATAATTTAAGTTGGCAAAAGAAGGCTCAGAGAATTCTTTATAAAACATTCAGCATATCAAACATAAACACTACTAAAGAAGAGTCACAAGGGCAATCTAACTGCACTGCTTAACACTAAGACTCACTTTAAAAGTGTACATTGTGATTTCCTTTCAACAAGCTACCTTCTATTTCAAATTTTGTCCTCAAAATGCCTTTCTGTGCCAACTTAGGTAGGGATTTCAGATTCAAATTTATGACTTCAATTTGCTTTTAAAATCACGTTTATTACAATTATTAACATAGGACATTTTTCTTACCTTCAACAGTTGCATCTGTACTTGTACTTTGTTCAAGTTTTGGAATGTATTTATTTTGCTCAGATATAAATTGGGAATCTCTTTTATCTTTTATGACAGTAGCTTCAGATACTAATACTTTATTGTCATCACTCATTCTCCTATGACAAACAGTAGAATCACTTTCAATAGTACTAAATATCTCATCAACAGCATGTGAAAATGTTTCTCTGTCAGATAGCTTAACTACATGCACTGATTCTTTAAAAACTATCGGTTGCTGTTTTGACTTCATTAGTGATTTATCATCTGGTGCACAAGCACTTTCTATATGATATTCGTGATGTTGGTCTATTTTATTGATATCATCATCAAATGATAAATGAGATCTTTGAGAAACAAGAAGCTCTTCTTGTACAGGCTGGAAAGAACTATCAGTAATAGCAGAACTGTCATTAGAAGATGGCATGTTTGTATATTCAGTAGGAATTGTTTGATATATTTGTTGCATGTAAATGGTGTTTACATCTGCAGTAGGTGACATACATAAATGAGCAGTAGCAGAATGAAGTACTTCTTCTTCAACATTCCTGACAAATTGTGGCATTTCAATTTGAACATCACTAATATTCCTATCCACTGTAACTCTTGTAAAACTATTCAAATGACTGTCAGAAAGCTCTGAAGAATTATCAAAACTTAACTTGGACTTGGAGACCTCCAAAGCATTATCATCCCAACAATATTTAGTTTTTTCTTTTATACAAATCTCTTCTTTTACAGTTCTTACATTTTCTGATCGAAAAAGTTCATTATGCTTTGCAAGAACAGAATTTTTACTGGTGTCTGTTTCAGATGAAGGTTCATATATCTGTTGCATATGAACCACATCTATATTAGTATATGCTATATTACTATATTCAGCAGTACTTTTCAGTACTTGTTGCTCCACTTTTGATATATATTCAGATGAATCATCACATGAATAAGAAGTCTGTTCAGATTTATCTAAATCTGAAACAAATTTTTTTCCAGAATTGGTTTCCGGAACACTAGTCTTTTTCAATGCAGAAACTTCTGAAATGGAAGGACTTCCTTGATAAATCAGTCCTTGGTTAGTTTCTTTCATATCAACTCCAGAATCAGTACTGCTTTCCAAGGCACTTTCTTCAGATAATAACTGCTCATGCAATGAAAATATTCTTTCTTCATTTAATAATTCAGAAGTAAGACCACTCTTCCGCTTTTTTTCTTGTTCAGTGCATTTTTTAATGAGTTCCGGTCTCCTTGAAGCGACAACTGAAAAAGGGGGCTCCGTAGCAAAAACATTTCTAAATGACTCAATAACTAATATTTTATTGATTGCCTCCTCTTTTAAGGGAACTACCTGATCAGTTTTAACGCCAGTTTCACTGGATGAACATGTGGAAAGTTCTTCTCGATCAGTTACATCACTTCTATCATCATGATCACTAACTATATGTTCTTCAAGGAATTCTTTCACAGTAGATTTTGTTACATCTTTAACTTTTTCTAAAATAGAAGGATCATTAACATCAATACCAACATCTGCTTCAATGTTTTCAGAACTTGGAGTACCTAAAGTTCTACTCAAATCATCTAATGAATCAGACTTTATACTGCTTTCAGTTGGACAGAAGGATAAATTGGAATCCTGGAGGGAGAATGCCCCATCAATTGGACTAGTATGTGCAGACAGCATTTCCACCTGAATTGTTTGAGTGGAAAAATTTTTTTTTAGCAATGATACTGAACTGGACTTAGGAATGAGACTGGACGGTGACTGAGTGTCAAGTAGAAATGGACTACTGGCAGTATCTGTTGTAATGAGAGAATCGGTGCCAATGCCAGTATCAAGCATCATGTCTGATGCTGGACTCGTTGATTTTTCAACTTTTATAGAACTATTCTGAAGTTCATCAACAACAACAAAATTTAAATCAGGAGAAGTACCGGACATTTTATCTTCACTCTTTAATGGACTGGTTAACTGCTCAGATTGCAAAATTGCACTTTCATCTGATATCACAGTTTCATCAGATATATCACTTTGAATGAATTTAGAAGCTACAGAAGATTCTAAATTCGTCTTTTGTTCATTTGGAAAATGAATTTTATTCTGTACACTACTAAAAACTTTTGTCTCAAATGTAGACTTAGGAGACATTTCTGTACTTTTAGAACAAAATACAACAGACTGACGTTCTGGTTCTTCCATAGGCGGAGCATCATATGTTTGCACAAAATATTCACTTTCTTCTTTTTCTACTCCAGATGGGCCGGCAGTAAACACTGCTATTGGACTAAGGCCTCGGTCAACTCTAGACGGTAATTTTGACTCTATTCTATTTCCATCATGAATTGGACTCAATCTTTTGCGAGTTCGAAACCCTTTTCGTGTCGAAATAAGTTGGTTTGGTTTCGCTGTTTCAGACTTTTCAGCACAAGGACTTGTGCAAGTTTCTTTGGTCTCTATTTCGGAAACTTCCTTCACTGGCGACAATGGTAATTCTTGAAGACACAGAATCTTTTCTGGAGTTAACTGCGCACTTGTTGGCAGCTTGGGAGACAGCATAATCTTTGATTCAAAGATAGATTTTGTTGGTGAAACTTTCTTTGAACAAAGGTCCTTGAACTTGGTTGGAGATAATGTCTCATCTTCAAGGTCTTCATCAATTTCTGGAATTTGCCCACAAAACATTTTGTGAACAAAAATACTGACAGCTATTTCTTTTGCCACCACTGATTTCAAACTTCCCATATCATTCAAACAAGCATAATGAAGCAATAATAATAATAATAATAATAATAATAATAAATAAAAACTGCCAATGATGCGATGGATTTAGCAATAAAAATAGGACCACTGTCTAAAGGAAGGAATTATACATTCTATTGACTACTAACAGCATGTACAAAATATATGCAACCATGCTTCTATGACACTGCACAAAATAAAAGTTCCACAGTAAAAATTAAAGGGCATTTTATCATAAGAGATCAGGCTGCATATACTATTCAAAGCAATATATGCCATAATAAAAGTGCATATTTTCCCTATAAAATTATTTCTACTGAAAGAAAAAAAAAGTACTACTGCAAAAAGGAAATATAATAAGTAATAATAAGTCTTGATATAAGATAAACATAATCTACAGCAAGCCAGAAACCTTCACTATTGAGTGTTACTAAATAGTAAATATAAATTAGCATAAATAATCAATTATATACATTAGAAATTACACCTACAATTCAAGAAAAAACTTAAAGCAAGAAGCATAATTTTATTATAATTAGTTAAATATATAATAATTAGGTACCCTATATAATATACATTAAACTATATTTATAAAAGCACTTAAAAATTAATTCAGGATGCAAAGCCAGTTCCAAGCATAGGTGACATAGGCATTCATCTAGGCACTGCTTTTTTTGAGGGTGCTAATTAAGTTGTTCTCAACAGCAACAACTATGTAAAAGTAATTGACCTTTTAATTATTGGCACTTTAGTTGATTTTGGACACCAAATTTACTGATCATCTAGGATGCAAAAAAATGCTGGAACCAAGCCTGCTACGATACATAAACAAAAATTTATTTATATTTCATAGAGCTTTAAGTATACACAATATAAGTCCATTTCTACTAAAAACTAACATTTAAACTACATTTCTAAATTCTTATACGGTACAAGCATGAAATATTATGAGTGAGTTTGTGAATAACAAAAAAGAAAGGGTTAGTGTAAACAATGTGTCATGCCAATAAATTATTTCTTTATTGCAGAAAACAGCCTTGTTTTTATCCACAAATAACATAACCTATAAAAAGTGTTTTTCAGTCTATCTTAATTAAAATTTTAAAAATAAAGAATTTATCAAGTCTTGGAACACATTTCTGCATATTAAAAAATCAGAAAAGAAAATCCTTATACAGGATAAATGAGACAGTATTTTTTTTGCAAAACCTACACCATTTGCAAAACCACCTATGATTAGGGATATCAACATAGTGTAGGATATTCATAATCGCTGTATCCAAAGAAAACTATAAAAGAAAAACCATTGGTCACTCTCTAGTTTAATTTATGAATTACAATAAAACCAGTTTTTCAGAAAATTTTTTAACATAATAGCGCATTTTTTAGCAGAGAAGTATTTGTTTTTAGCCTTAAACACTGTTACTATATTACAGTGAGCTGCAATTTATTTTTAAATGCAGTTAGGAAGTATTTAGCAGGAAATGAATGTCAATTTGAAAATCCGTTCTACCAATTAAATTAATTAATAAATTATGTAATGATTTCCTTTTACTTTTTCCTATAGAATTCGTTCTACCAATTAAATTAATGAATAAATTATGTAATGATTTCCTTTTACTTTTCCTATAGAATCAGACCCTTGGAATACTTAGAACATGATTATATAACTGTACAGTTTAATTTTATATTTACGTAAACTTCCCAAAACTTATGATTTAACTCAAATAACCTACAGTTTTGAAAATGCCAATAACTAGATCCTTTTAAGCACCTTACAGTTTTCTTCTGAACAAATCTGAGATAAATTATAACTTAAGAGAATAATTCCTAGCCCTTCAGAAAGCATACTATAGAAAGTGATTAAAAAGCAAAACAACAAATTTCAATGGGATGAAAACAATAACATTCAGAGTGCATTTCTCTCATAACAAAGCAGTTTCAAGACAAGATGCAAAACAGCTTCACAGCTTTCGAGCTTTGCTTAAAAAGTGGCTTAAAGTGTAGACATATTCAATTAATATAACAGCAGAGAAAAAAAAAATGCTTTCAAAGAAGATAACAGAAAAACTGCTTTAAAAGCACTTCAATCCAGACCAATGCATATAACATATTAAAATTACACAGATGAGATTTTGGTTTTATCTACTGCCTAAACATAAAATACTTAATCACCATGGCAGTTTTTCTCAACGATAACATTAAAAAAAGGGGGTAATGTAAAATAGTGGCAAGATGAACTAGAAGTCATAAATGCACATTTCAAATTATTGCAATAGAGTGGACCAGTATGCTTTTTCATAATATTTTGATGCCTATAAATAAATAGCAAAGGGGTTTCTATGTCAGTATTTACTACTTGATCATTGGCTTACAAGTAAAAAATTCATTATTATTTATAAGGATCAGTATTACAGTTATTTATACTCCTTAAATGCTTTCACATAAGAATTATGAAAAGAAACAAAATCGTAACTTAGATGGTGACAACATAATAAGTAACTAGAAGCTATTCTTATGATATACAAAACATTGCTATTATATCCAAAAATACTTTTAAAAATATATTTGACCAACTGAATTATAATTGTGCACCCAAAGCCAGATGAAGATATTGTCATGTTCAAGACATAATATATTTTTGATATATTTGACTAGTAAATCCCAGTACTCCAGGTAGTATAATCAGTGCTGCATGCATCAGTGTTGAACAGCAACAAACTATCTTTTCATGAGACAAAAGTTAGGAGACAGAAGTAGACAAAAGATATTTTTCTCTTTGACTGGTGCTTAATACTGAGCAATAATAAAAACTAAGCTCCTGATACTCAGGTGTTAGTTAATAATTCAAGATTAAGTATCACAACAATGTTTTATAAAATTATATTAAAATGTGCTACAGCTATTTTAAAATCTAAATTTTTGACTAATAAAAGTATCAACAATATCAAATCCACATTTAATTAGCTTACATGTTAATATGCTACATGATATTTTTATTTTAGTTATGTACTACATGATTATTTATATCTCATTTGTTATTGTGATACATGAGTTTAAAATTTATCTCATTAATTCAAAGCAATGTCTCCTGGCATTTAATCAACTTTTTTTTTTTTCCCCCCACATGATATAATGTTAAAGAAGACTGGCTGTGATTCCAAAAGTTCTTTCAAATGGGTGACGGCACAGATAGAGGAGTAAAAGCCTTTACATAGAATATTTAAAGATGTTATTTATCATAACTGGGAGGGAGCTGATCACAAATTTGTCCAATAGGCATAGTCTTTGAAACCATTCATATTTATTCATAATACTGTTCCAGAGTTTTATACCTGGATAGCAGCATAATAAGCAGCAATATTACTATAGGTCCCATAGAAAATTTTACCTTAAAATAGTTTTATAGGTCCCATGGAAAATTTTATCTTAAAATAGTTTAAGTGTTTAACCAGATATGTGATGATAATCCAAATTCTCTGAAATGCTGGTTTAAAGAGAGGAACTGCAAATTAACCTTAAAATGTATCATTCAAATTTTAGACTTCAGCACCTGAATATCTCACAAAAAGGAAGCTTAACTGATAAAAAAGTATATGCCTCTCTCTCCTCCCATATATATTTATATTATTCTCTAAAGTGATAAATAATTAAAAACATATACATCAAACATGCATTTATCTGTCTCATTTCTTTCACAACAAAAACAGATGCAGGTGTTTTATTTTTAGTTTATTTTTTTTTCAATGTTATGATGTATGCAAATTGTATACTTTTAAATAAGTTTAACACAAAGTTTTTAACAATTTTTGAAAATTATATGCAAAATATAAGCATTCATTTTTGATATTTTTACTATGTATTTTCAATGCAGAGCATGCTTAAATAAATTTTATTGATCAATTATAAATAAATGAAATAACTTCCGACGATAAGTTGTAAACATTTAGCTTTAAATATATATATTAAAAATTTATGAGTGTGTCTGTTTGTTTATAAAAGAGTATAAAAATATATTCTTTTTCTCATCCCACAGCGGCTAAAAAAGCGAGAAGCAATGACCAAAATGACAACATTCAATAGCAATCTTCAATTTTAGTTCTCAAACTGACAAAATGGCTTTCTATTGTCTCTTCCTCACATTTTAATGTACATAAATAACATATATATATATATATATATATATATATATATATATATGTATCTTTTTTATAGAGCTTTTTGGCTTGAAATTTAATTATTAATGGTATGTTGTCCTTTGTTGTGAAAACAGTTGTTATAAGTAATAATCATAATTTTTCATTACGATGTTAGCGCACATTTTTAAAGAAACCCCCCTTCTACTCGGTTCTTTTTAAAGTGTTTTATGAAAAATTAATTTAGTGAAATCCATTAAAAATAAAAAGTACTTCATTCAAAAGAGGAAAAAAATTCTTCAATATCATATTTTTTCCTTATAATAAAAACTACCAAATTTAGCTATTTTTTTCAATTTGTATGATTCTTATGCTACTTTTTTCTAACATTAACTTAAAATCTTTAAAAGATTTTAGAAGATAATCTTTTCAAAACTAATCTTTGAAGATTATGTCCTTGATAAAAAGGTAATGTAAAAATACACAAAAGAGTACAAAAAAAATATGCATGGAAGACTGGCAATTTGATTATTCTTCATGACCAATTAAAACTATTTTATTTCATGCTGCAGAGTGATTAAGTAATTTCATGTAGTATGCAATACCTAGTGAACTAAAAACATAGGAAACTAATGTAATACCACAGTTGATAATCCTTGTTTTTACCACAACATATTTTAATACAGATGCTGATATATGAATAACAGACACGTTCTTTTCCTTCAGTCAGCCAAAGTAATAGATTTTGAATGATCCCCTTTTTCCTCCATCTTAAATAGATCTCA